CCCCCCAAAAAAAAAGAAGAAAATGATTTTTAAAAAAAAATTTAAACAAATACTTACACGTTTCTAGCAGAAAAACTTGCCAGAAAGAAAGTTCAAAAAGAAAGGTGTACACTAGTGAACAAGGAAAGACTAAAGAGACAAAGTGGACGAAAATGCCAGTAACAATGTTTTGACTTTTGTTGATGTGTTTCTGCAGGTGACATCCGTGGTGCCAGACTGTGAGTGAGGAGGTGCCCACCGCCCCCTCCCCCTCCCACACGCCGGGATGGAGCTAAGGATACTCTGTTCTGGCCTGCTCCTGGCTATCTTTGCTTGCGTCATCGTTGACGTCAGCGCGCAGTCTGGTGGCGAGCAGGACTTGAAAAGTGAGTGCCTTATTTTTAACGTTTAAAATATCTTCGTGTTTCACATGTATTCAATAACTTGTGAGCCGGGTGGTTGGTTGGTGTTGTCGTATGACCTGCTCCTCCTTGTACGTCTCTTTTTTGTTACTGCTTCTATTCGTCTTGTCCTAAACTGTTTCTCTGGTTTGCTGAAGGGTGCCATTTGTAGGTTCTGCTTCTTTTTCTTTATTTTGCTGAAGGTTCTATCTGTCTTCCTTAACTTTTCCCTTTCTCTAAATGGTCATCATCTCTGTGTTTTTCTGCACTCTAACTACATCTGTATAATATGTTCCTGACAAAAAAATGATGCCGTCGTCTGGCCCACTCCCAGTGAGCCTTAACTCAATACCAAGTTGAACCTTGTATAGACGACATCATAATAATATATTCAATAATCCAGACTTAAAGCGGGTGGTTGCAGGGTGCACCGGTGTGGTTTGCTACTTTCAGGATCATGCAGCGCTCGGTAGATACATACCACAATGAGAACCAACAAAGAAAGATCCTAAAAGAAGTGTCCCGCTATTTGGGATGCGGCTGCTGTCGAAATGAACGTTACTGTGTATGGGTATCGATTTTCTATCTCCGCACATAATATACTAATATAGGCCTATCTATGTAATTTTAAAAATCTGTGATTAACTCCTCTATGTTGTTTGAGATGCACCTGATGTGATATGTATTATTGTCAGCTTTTATTTTTTTCGCTTCATATGGAAATTATTTTATCAAAGTAATTCTGTGTATATTAAAAGGTGTTTTATAACCATTCCTGTAAAGCCACAGAATATTTTCCACTAGGACAATACAGTATTATCTTATCGTATCTTATCTTATCTTATCTTATCTTGTCTTATCTTATCTTATCTCATCTCCTATAAAAATCTACCTTCCTCATCTTTCTTTCTTCTTTTCTTTATGTGCTACTGTCTAGTAATACCTCTTCTCTTCGGCACTTGTATGACCAATTTGTTTTGCAGGCGTCGTAAAAAACACTTTTTGAAGCTAAAAACAATCTCGACTAAATAGGGTAAATGAAACAGAATATATATATTTTCGGAGCACTAATGACATGTCTTGTCATGAAGATAATCGGGCAGAGGTTTTCATGTCAGGAAAGGAGCGATTATGGGCGTGCCCGGTTTACGATAATATCCGCCCTTCTGTGCATTTATCAACTTCACAGTATCAAGAAAACTAGATACACGCACATTCAGAGAGAGAGAGAGAGAGAGAGAGAGAGAGAGAGAGAGAGAGAGAGAGAGAGAGAGAGAGAGAGAGAGAGGGGGGGGGGGGGGGGGGGGGGGGTTGTCTGTGTATACATTCATGTTTTATATTGACACTAAAAAGCTTGTATCTATGGAGAAGGTGCTGACGACCATGGCCTAAATGTAGCACTTCAGGGTTCGTGTTACAATGGTGCCCGAACTCCACTTTGAAATTGATGCACGATTTTGAGATTTTGAACTTCTCAGCTTACAATGTTAACACTTAACAAGCGAAATATTTTCCGGATGTAAGAAAATCTAACACCC